CATTGTGCCTCCAATGGTGATAGCATCAGCATGGCTGATGACAATAGATACTACCAAAGTTTCAAGCCCAACGAAAGAGACAACAGATACTAACATAGGGGAGTTTTTATGTTTGAAATCAAATGAAAACATAGATTACAGGTTTCCATGTTTTGCTTTTTTAGGTTTTTGTGGTTTAGTTTCGAAGGCATTTGAGTATTTTTAGGTGAGTTTTTTGCTATTTTTGAAAGTTTTTATAAAATCTGACATTTATGAAAGTAGGGAGTAAATTTTGGCTATTTTTTTTTATTTAAAAAAATTCGCCAGGTAGTCAAATGGTCATTATAACGGCTAGATATCAAACTTCAAACATGAAACTACATAAACACTAACTCACAGGGTCACATGTATAGAGTTTATAGGCTTCCAGACTGATATTGAGTTATTTTTACAGGAACTTTTTTTTTTCCCTTTGTTTCTATTTGGACCTAAATTCCACACGCCAGCCAAATTGACTTTTGGCCTTGTTCACCCGTTTTAGATTTGTTCATGTGATGGTAAGGTAAAGTTCCCCATTGTCTTGAAAACCATTGACTGGCCAACAAGTCAACTTTCTTTTGTGTATGAGCGTATCACTGCTAGCAATAAAAATCATAGCAGACTTTTTTAAAAATGGATAACTTGCGCCCCAAGTTACTGATTTCTAAACAAGCGATTGTGAATTTGGGTGATGAATATCTTCCAAGTAAGTTCTTTTCTTGTATCAGACTGATGCGGACTTCACAATTTTTCACAGTACAAAACTGGTAGTTCTGACTAGAATAAATGATAATAAAGTGAGCTGTTTCAGGTAGAACTGCCTTTTACAAAGCTCAAAAAGGAAGAACAACTCTAAAAGACAAAAAGAGCTCTTGGACTTCAATTTTTGCATGGATAGATGCTTCTGATCTGGGTTGGACTGGGTAAATCTGTGCTGGATTGGACTATCAACACCTTCAACTGCCAAGTTTTAGCTATAAATCAAACCAATGTTTGAGTTTGGCAGAGCTTTAATCTATTTCAAGCCCTAGAAGGCTTTATGAAAGGGCAGAATTAGAACCTCTTCAGTTTGGAAGGGGCAGAAGTGACTGGATTTGATGATTACTGAGCTGGAACTGCATTGTAGTACCTGTTCTGCTTGATCAGGGCTCTCCATAAATTTATTGAGGTAATATTTGTAAAACCCGAACTCTACTTGATTTGGCTTATGATGGACCAAATTTGTAACGAGAGAAATCTCGCTTTGAATGACTATTTCTCTGAAACTGAACTGAAGTTAGAGATTCTGGATTATAGCTGGCTTGTTTCTTGTGGCTTAATGAGTTTTTGGTTGCTTCAGTGTTTTGAAGGCTTTTGAGATCAAGTGATCATTTCGAGTTTTTGTTTTTTTGATTGATTTTTTGGCTGTCTCTGATCTGTTCACCTCCTCTCATATTTATAGAAAAGTGCTGGAGTGAGATTTCTAATATTTTAATAATGGGCGGCAGATTTTCCAAAAGCAAGATCTTTCATTTTTTAATATCGTAAAAGAAGGAAGCTATGATTTTGGCAGAGAAGGGCCATCAACATTTAACTTTCATGGAGGTCTTTTCCTTGCTTTTCTAAAAGAAAACCAACTCTCTTTGTTCTCTGTTTTGTTCCTTGCAAAAATAGAAAAACACATTTTGCCATTATGGTCAGTTTGCTTTTTCTGGTGAACAACTCATTTGCTCCCTACTTATCTCTTAAAATTGTAACATGCTTTTCTCTTGGAAATATAACCTGTTTTAGTGCAGAGCTTCTGTGCATATAGAGAGGGGATTTGATCTTCTTTTTCTTGGCGAAGAAAAAATGGAGAAGTTTTGTAAGACCTGACTTCATTAACTCTCTATCACTTCCTCTGTTTTAGTTGAGAATTTTGACTTTTTCAAAGTCAAGAAGTCACGTGGGTTTTTCTTTGAGAATAGACTTTCCAGGAAGAATCTGCTAACTTGTTTCTGGGCTTTTTGAGAGTAATGGTGAGAATTTAGAAGCTGGGCCCAAACCAATTTTTTCTTTAGAATTTTAACGATCTGCTTGGTGGTCAATTTTGCCATTTCGTAAAAGACGTGGGCCTCTAATGTGGATTGAGCTTTTCTTTTGGAGTTAAGACCCAGTCTTCTGTTTTCCTGTTCCCGTGCTTTTTTGTGAGAAGTGGGCTGTTGTGTGTGAAATTCTTTTTAGGCCCAAACAGGCCCATGTCAAAAACAGGAGTTTGGGCTTTTTTTGTTAACGCCAGAAATCAGGCCTTTGTGAACCAATTACAAGGAATAAATTTACAAATTAAAGATTAATTACCATTAAATGGTGATTTAATCTGTACAATCAGTTTTTAATTGGTTTAAAGATTAAGCCCAGCTTCTAATCTCTCCAGAATATCAAAAATTTCATCATCACCGTTGATCTCAATTCCAGAGTTCAAGTAAGAAGATTTTGTTCTTGGGAAGATCTTTCTCTCAAAAAGCACACGTGACTTTGAAGTCAAAATTTTCAACTGAGCAGAGGAAGTGATGGGGAGCCGGTAGAAAGTCTAATATGAAAATCACTCCCCATAAACCATTTTATGCCAGAAAAAGAGGGCCAAGTTTCCTTTCTAGACTCAAAAAGGGCTCTGCATCAAGACAGGTTATGTTTACAAGAGATAAACAGGAGACAGGGAAGTTGTTTGTCAGAAAAGCAAATAGACCATCATAGAAACTGACTGTTGATGGGTCAGTTGTTTTTTTGTTTTTGTTTTTAAGAATAATAACTCCTCCTTCTTTACATTGGAAAAAGAAAAATAAAAACCTTTCAAAAGATCTACCCTCCAGATATTAAAGATTAAACCCTTATTCAGTTCTCTATAAATATGAAAGGAGGTGAATAAGGTTAGAGACAGCCAAAAAATTCAATCAAAACAAAAACTCTCAAGTCATACTGACAAATTCATAACAAGATCATTCGATCTCAAAAGCCTTCAGACTCTAAAGCAATCAAACCAGTTGGTTTGAAAATTCATACAGCTCCTAAACAAAACAGGCAGAATTCAAACTTCTAACTCCAGTTAAGTTCAGGGAAGCAATTCACAAAGGAAACAAGATTTCTCTCGTTACAAATTTGGTTCAGCATAAGCCAAATCAAGTAGTAGAACTCGAGTTTTTCATAATATGAAAACCTCAACAAATTTACAGAGATGCCTTGATCTCTCAAAATTGCCAGAATAGCTCTTGGATGATTCATAATCAAGCAGAACAGGTATTACAATGCAGCTCTAGGCCAGCAATCATCAATCCAGCCACTTCCATCCTTGTCCAAACTAAAGAGATCTCAATTCTACCCATCCAACAAGCCTCTCCATGGCTCAAATAGATTGAAGCTCTGCCAATCTCAACATTGGTATCGATTTCCAGCTGAACCTCATCAGTTGAAGGTGTTGACTTTTGAATCTAGCATAGATACATCCAATCCAGCATGAGTCACATGCAACAACCCAAGCAAAAATTGAAACCCAATGTTCCGTTGTCCTTTCAGACATGGAAATTCCATGTTGTTTTGAGTTGTGTAATAGGTAGTTTCCCTTAAAACAATTTGATTTATTCTCAATATTCATTTTGGCCAAAACTACTAGTTTACTGTGAAAAATTGTGAAGTCCTCACCAGTCTGAGGCAAGAAAAGAACTTACTTGGGACATATTCCTCATCCAAATTCATAATCACTTGTTCAAAGTTAGTGACTTGGAGCGCAAGTTATATATTTTTCATAAGTCTGTTAGGGTTTTTAATTGCTAACAATGACACGCTCGCAAATCAAAGAAAGTTGACTTGTTGACCACAAATGGTTCTCAAGTCAATATGGAACTTTACCCTACCATCACAGGACTAAATCAAAACAGGTGAACAATTTCCAAACATATCAAGCATTTCACTATAACAAAGTATTCAAAGAAAGTATGATCCGTAGTTTAGAAAGATAATAGTATAACTGTGATAGTTTTTATTTCAGAGTTTGGACTAGATGTTTGCTTGAATAAACATAAAATAAAAGATAAGAAAGCTTACTTAAAAGAGTACTAGTGTTGCTCGGAACTTGAAACGTAGAAGGAAATTGAAACATAAGAGATGGAAAGTGTTGAAAGCAAAGCTGTTTTATTGAAAGCTAGAGAGCACCAAAGAGTTTTTCTTCTCAGACGTGCCTCTAACTAGAGGATACTCCTACATGCGATGCAAACAAATGAAAAGGGTGCCACTACTAAGAGCATCCACAGTGGGGAGGTGTATATGGGGGTGTATGTTAAATATACACCCCGAGTCACCGAAATCGTCTCCAATGAAAAGATGTAAATGGATGTAAATATACATCACCACCATGGGGATGTAAAATAAAATGTATATTTACATCTATATTTATATCTCTTGCATGCGGGACCTATCTGAGAAAAGAGAAAAAAAATGAAGAAAAGTCAACATAAAAGACTGGGACCCACGACTACACCTCCGAATTTACACCCTCTCATTGGAGCAAAAAACATATTTACATCCCCCGGAGGTGTAAGGGGGATGTAAAAGTGGCTTTACATCCCCAAATTTACACCCCCCATTGTGAATGCTCTAACTTATGAATTGACAAACTTCATGGCTAGTGCCTTGGCTAAATTGGAACATAGCCTCTCTCCTTCCCGTTTATGGGAGAATGGCTTAACCCTTTCTGTTGTAAACACGTTTCATTTTGACCTCTTTAGCACATCGTGTTTAAGTGCCTTTTCATTGTAAGTGTTCTTTTCATATAAAAAACAAAAAGGACCTATGTGTCCTAATTCCTAATTCATTTTTGTCACTTAGAAAATGTTACGAACATGATTAGAGTCCCTTTCTTCTTGAGGATGTTTTCATCATTTGCCCGTTTAGTTTTTTCTATTTTTTGCAACAGAAAATTGTACTCTTTTCTAGAGTGCTTACACAGACAAAACGCTATTTAAATTGACCCAAAAAACGCTTTTTACAGGGGAAGACCGAACTGTAGCTTCCAAGTTCCATTGATAGCAAAACCTCCTTTGCTGGTCTTGCTGATCAGTTCACCAATATCTCAGACTGTAGAACCCAAAAGAACGCTAAAATCATTTTGGGTTTTCAATTTCTAGTACTTGCCAGGTATCCTACTCTCTCTCTCTCTCTGTATATTTATTGTTGTCGTTCTTATGTTTATGAACAGTTGAGTACCAATTTGGAAAATTTGTAGAGGGGTTCATTTTAGGCTGCTAAGAATCTTGCACAGATTTTGTTGCTTTCAGATTCATGTTATATTATATAGGTTGAACCTTGAAGTTTGAATTATGTTATGTGGATTCTTTATTGATCTAATGAGTCAATGAGTATTGTGAATTTGCTACTCCCCTTTGAAAAATTTGACTCCTAGTTGAGTGGGTTAGTCCTGGTGGTAGCTGTCAATGACTTAGGTAACTGATTCAGGCAGTCAGCTTCACATTCTGCGTTGTACACATATGGGGATAGCAGTAGATACAGATTGTCTAGGCAAAGACAAGATTTTACTCTCCCATGAGGCAAGCAAGCCTCTGCTGGATCTTCTGATGCAGCTCTTTGCATCTACCCTTTTTCATTCTTGAGTGGATCAGGGGAACCCAGTAGCTATAAATGATTTTTCCCCAATTACTCTAGCTACCCTTCTGTCAAGATCTGAGGATCTGCGGATATGGATTCAAGTGTTATTGTTTATTATTTATTTTTATACTGAGGTATTGTATCTGAGAGGGCAACTCCCAAGTGATGTGCCTATGAATTGCTTTAGAGATTGGTTCTCATTTATGTTTGAACAGAGTGTATGTGTGAGCCATATAGAGCAAAAAGATAGCAAAACCAGTGAACTTTACAGCTGGTGATGAGTAACAAAATTGCATTGTAGCCTTCTCATTTTATCATGGGTGGACGCTTTTGGTGTTATGTAGCCGTCAAGTAAAATATCATGGGCACAGTCAAAGACAAATTCCAGACTCTCTATGTGATGGAGGTCAAAAAGTCCTTGTCTTGCCTAATCATAAGCTTAGGTCTTATTGCTGACAATCCGCACTAGTACTTGCATATTTTGACTTTATTTCTGGAATAAATTGGATACTTCAGGTATGATAGAATTTTAGTTGCTAACTTGCTACCATTGCTTGTCCCTTGGGCTTTGATCCTATGCTCTTATTTATACTATATCTCATTTTTGCAGGTTAATGATGGCAAGCACCTCAGGACAAGGATTTAGCCCTGGGAGAAACTACAGGTGTTGGCTAGATGAAACTTTTTCCAGTCATGAAACAGCTGATGACGAGCTATCATATACTCCTGATGTAGATAATAATTTGATTGAAACATCTAGCCAAGATTTTTCTTTAACTTTGGAACCGGTTATTGGGATGGAATTTGAATCAGCAGAAGACGCTAGAGATTTTTATGAAATGTATGGTAGGCATATGGGATTTACAATACGGAACAATCGTACACGTCGTTCACTAAAAGATAACGCAATAATTGGCCGGGAGTTTGTTTGCTCAAAAGAAGGTTTCCGAGCAGAAAAATATGCAACGAGTCAAAACAGAGTTCTTCCATCACGGCCAGCCACCAGAAAGGGATGCAATGCAATGTTGAGGATAACGGCAAAGGATGGAGGCAAGTGGGTTATATATGGTTTTGTAAAAGAACATAATCATGAGTTGAATCCTAACAAAATACCACCTCGACGATCACATAGGATTGCATTCTGCGAGGTATGTTGGTCTTCGTTTTGGTATGTAAATGTGCTTATAATAGAATTTTAATCTTATTTTGCAAGATTCTTTTGAAATATCTTAAGGGGTTGTTTTATGTTTGGTTGTTTAGTTCTGTGTTGAGTGGCCTTGTGTCTGTTTCACCGGCTAGTGTTTTTTCTTTTTATCTGTGTTCTAAATGCCGTTCTTTTGATCCTCTCAAATTTGAATAAAAATGTTTCTATTAAAAAAAAAAAAAAAAAAAAAAAGAGGAGTTAGCATGAGACTGGAGTTATATGAATTGGAACTAAGAACTAGGTTTGAATAATTAATCCTTGAATTGGTTTAAAAAAACAAAATGACAATCCAGTTTGGCTGTATGAACTTATAGTATTCTGATATGTAAGAGATGATGAGCAGAATGTGACTTGTAATTGGGGATTTATTTTCTTATTGGTCTAACAGTTTAAAAAAAATACAAAAATTTAAATTCATAGCAACGATAGTACTACACTTCAACTGTGTTCTATTTTTATTTAATAAAATGAAAATTCTGAAGAATTGAAAATTTCCATCTTTGATGTAAACCGGTACCCGGTCATACATATGCTCTTCCACAGGTATGCAAGTCCTTTTGGCCAAAAGCAATTCTGGTTGGGCAAGAGGTTTGGTGGCTATGATTCTGAGGTCAAATCAAGTAGACATTTGCTAGATAGGTTTTAGTACCAATAAATTTATGAGCTAATGCCTCAATAATCTTAGTTTTGTGCAGCTGCTTGTTGAAATCATGTGTCATCCTGCCTAATAAGTGTATATTTACAAGTTCCTATATGAGCTTAAATTACAACAGTGTCTGATATTAGTTCTCTGTTTTCAGGATGAGAAGGACTTGAAAATCCGGGAACTGTCCATGGAGCTACATCGAGAGAAAAAGAAGTCTGCAGCTTATCAAGAGAAGCTACAGATTGTATTGAAATATATCGAGGAACATACTCAGAGGTTATCATTGAAAGTTGAACTGGCAACTAACAATATGAGAGAACTTGAATCTGAAAAGCAAGACAGTTCATACTCAGACTAGAGTATGTCATTTGATCTTGATGTTTGTGTTAAATGTTGCCCATGATTTATTATCAGTTCTTTGACCAAACTTAAGTAAGAAAAAGGAGTGCAAATCCTACCTAACAGTGCATGCGATAAAGTTTGTATACAGACGGCTGTTCACTGCCTCTACACTGCTCCCTTGTGCAAAAGTCAAACTGAAACGCCGCAGCATGTTTTACTGTTGTGTAAGTGGACTGTGCTTTGCTTGGCAGGGTGTAGCCTCGCCTAAACCCAGTTATAAAGTGAACAAAGCTATTTCAAAGTTCTATCTGGTTATAGAAATCGCTTTTCCAATCTCTCGTAAAGATACCGCCACCCTTAGGTTAAGCAAGGGGAAGTGAATTCTACTATTAGCCGGTGCTTACAAAGGCTATGCTCAAGATCTTGTGCTACAATTTTTCATTTTTGCTCCAATGCATATGACCCAAATGGTTGGCCCAAACTCAATTTTTGTTTAACAATTTCTTTTTTATTTCTTCATTATTCTGTTCGACATTATTGCTTCGTGCTTTTTTATTTTGGTATCTTATATTGACGTGGCATGGGAATTTTAGTAAGGGTAATGATTTCCCCACTCCAATTTTATCCACATACACTTAACCACCAAGAACCCTTTTCGCACCACATAAGTTTTATTTTGTCTACTGGGCGAAATAGCCATATTTTGTTGAACAATTGATGATTTTACGAAAGTAGGTTTGATTGAATTCCTCTCTTTGATTTTGGTCTTTCTTGATCACTAGAAATTGATTTAAAATGCGAAGAATTGACACATGAGCTTGTAGGGCCCGTTGAAGTCCACGAATAAGGGGGAAGAAAGAGGGCCATAAGTAGGCTATTTGCTATTGCTATAAGGCCCCGTTTGGTTGATGGGAAAGGAGACTTGGGGATGGGAAATCAATTGATTTTCTATGTTTGGTGAGTCCAGACATAAGAAATCGTTGTATAACCCAGTAATATGATGACATGCGACCAAGTTGACCAAATTGATATGTTGAGTTCAAATTGATTGATTTGTTTGAGGACTTTTGAAAAATTCGAAGACTATTTGCGTCTAAATCATATATCTTATTTTTTTCCCCCATCAAATATAAATTTTCATTAGATAAACTTTAAAGGTACAATAAAATACATCAACATGACATCCAAGTATCAATCTCAAGAAGGTAACAAACTAACATATTAAAAACAAAACTAAAGCGGACAAAAGCCGCATTAAAACTATTAGCTCACATCACCATAATTAACCATAAGCCCAAACAAAGCCCACATACCCAACATAATCGAAACCTTAAAGCAATCCATAAGCCTAAACGAACGCTACCACCACCACCTGAAGAAGAGCTGTTCTGGCCACACCCACCACCGCATCCTTAATAGATATGGGAAAAACATGATTTTCATCTATCTACCTGCGCATAAGAGCGAACAAATAAATGAAAACAACTACCTTGACAAAGAACAATTGAGTTATTTACAGCAACCTTCGTCGAAGATGATGTAGCCCCTTTGAGAATGTCTAAAAGGGTTGATGAGGAACTTCAATATAAGCATAGCTCAGAAAAAGAAGGAGTAATGACGCTTCTTCCTCCTCCTCCCTTTATGGAGTTTGTCTTTGGGACTCACAGAAGGAGAGAGCGGCCATGGTTTTTTGTTTTTGTTTTTTTTCTCTCATTCAGGAATAGGGCTTTTAAATTAGACACCTTAAAAAATGGTTATTAAGGTAATTATACAAAAAGAAAAACTTGTGATTTAAATCCCTTTAAAATCCATTAAAATTCTAATCCAAATACAACTCCTAAGACCATCTCCAACCTAAATGGGGCTAAACTCAAATTTTCTCCTCCAAATATATTGTTCGGACTTAAACAGGTTTCCTCCAACCTCCTCAGCTTTATTAAATATTTGAGAATGGTTAACCACTAATTCTTTTGTGGTTAATTTTTCTTGACAGTATTTTATTTAAAAATTCGCGGTTTAATTTTCTGAACATTATAACCTAAACAAATTGGAATTCCAAAACATAATATAATTGCACTTAAATTGAAAACGAGTACAGCAACATCAAATTAAAATGCATATAACAACATCAAATAAAAACACATTCAAATTGGTCTTTCCACTTTTGGCAATCTTTAAAGATTTGTCAAGCATGATGCCACTTAAAAGACCTATTCATACCCTTCATTCCAAAAATAGATTTTGTATGCACCTCCCACGTACGAATTATAGTAAAAACATGGGGAATTTTTTATCTACGTTCACTCATATAGATGAATTAATATAGATGGGGAATCATTGGATTACTATAGGAACGCATATTTCGCTGGCCAATAAGAAGACGACACGTGAAAAAAGAATATTCCTTAGGTAAACTAATTACCCTAATTAAATCCTATTTAATTAGGGGAATTATCTTTGATTTAAGATAGGAATATCTCCCCACATCAAGTGACAGGACCTGCCCCGAATTTCCCGGAACCCGAGACGAACCCTGCGGAGACCCCGGCATCACCCCCACGCCGGGTTCACATGGGATAAATTTGGGTCGGGGTGTTACATAAAGGAACCAATTTTTATCAAATCTCTTGGATTAATTCCTATCATCTTTTTGGGAAAGAATAATCCTAACCAATAGCATACAAAGAACCTATAAATATATGGGTACACAAGGCATTCAAGGTAATTCTTTTTGAACCCTAAAACTCTCTCTTACCGCCACTCTCTCTCCCCTCTCTCCCACATGGTTCCGGCCACCGCACTCCATCCACTTTAGCTATTGTCGTATCTTTATCAAGATCTAATTGAACTTAGGCATATAAGGGCCTTTGACCAACACCACTGGCAGAGCCACAAAGGCGCAAGGAGGTGCAGCTGCACCTCCCCTCATAAGAAAAAGCTTTGAAGTCAGATAAATGTTGGCACCACAAGTTACAATTTTCTTCAACGAGATTGAAACTACCAGGAATGCGTGCACCAAACTAGTAGGCTTCCAAAAAATTTCGTTGTTGGTGCTCATCAAGTGCGCTGTTCCAAAGCCCATTTAGAAGGCCAGGCCTTAGGTCACTCCTAAGGCTGTCAAGATCCAACTGAAGAAAACACCGTCCAAGAACGCTCTCTGAAATGCAAGAAAGAGGGTTGCTCGTGCTTCGAGGAAGAAAGAAGCAAAGAAGCAGTCTATTGAGGCAATTTTATCCGTGCTTTCTACGAGAAGCCAAATGGTGACCGTAAGCGAAAACACCTCAAACACCCTGACTGTGCCGGAAATAATACTACCCGATTTGTCCAAATCATGATTGGATCAATCCTGGTCAACCTGTATCCTACATATTCAGTCCTAATGACTTCCACCAATGAAACTAGTGAAGTAAGTCAAAAGGATGACTTTGAGAAAAATACTAAGGTCCAAGGGGCCAAACCTCGGTCAAGCCCTAGAGCCCATGTTGTGGAACCCACTTCACAAGAGGTTCACCCGTGTTCTTCAAAGGGTAAAAGCAAAGCCATCATCATGAAAAGGAAGGTGGTGAACATACCTCATCCACAAAGGAAGCTCGTGCAAAAGGCAAAGACAATTGATGCTTTAAGGAATCAAATTCCTGTATCACAAGGGGCAGTCCCAAAACCTTAAGATCAGTCGAGGTCCTACATGGGTCCATTGACCTATTCCAAATCCTGATACGTGATGGGGATGATTATTCCCAAGTTATCCCCTATAAATTCAATCTGCTTGGACAATTATTTGCTATGGAATCCTCTTTACGATGATCCCCTATCTCAAACTCAAGAGAATGATTACATAGTATCCCAAGAGGCCAAACTTCATGAGTGAGTTGAAAGTATGCAAGTCATGATGATTGGCACTTTTAATATTGAGGACCAATTACCCTTAATCCAAGAAATGATGCAAGACCTGTGAAGGGAAATGCACCAGAAGTTAGTAGAGAAAGATGCGGAAATAACATTACTATCTGCTCAATTGAAAGGAAAAGCCATCATGAGTGAGCAAGATAAGGGGAAGGCAAATGAGATCCTAGCCCACGAACAATAAAGAAAAGAGGAAAAAGGAGAGGGGTCTACGAGCACAATTTCCTTAAATAACAAAGGCATTAATCGCTAAGGGGATTCGTGAGTTCCAAATGTTTGTAGCACCTCTTGTTCTTGGATATAGAAAGCCATTCCCTTCTCACTATGACGCCATCCCATTCCAGAAGTGTTATCAACATCCCATATTTGATAAATTTGATGGCATAGATAGCTCACCTCATAAAAATCTAGCACATTTTTATTCAGCATGTGGTGAGACATCCCAATCAGACTCATTCCTAGTGCGTCAAGTTGTCCAATCCCTAAAAAGATCAGCTTTTACTTGGTATACATAACTATCGCCAGGCTCAATCTTGACATGGGATGTAATAATCCAAACCCAAAATTAATATTTAATTATTAATTTATTTGAGAAAAAGATAAAAATACCCATAGAATATTTTATTAGTTTAAAAGTTGACTTTTTGACTGGGAAGGAATTTGGGGATTTTAGTTATACGTTGCGTAGAGCGCGACGAAACGAGTTCGTAGACATGTAGTGGACTCAAATCGGAATTGTAACGAAGGAGTTACGATCAAAAGAAGTTCAGTGGCATAACCGTAAATATTTCGAAGTTCAGATTTTATAA